CTCTTGTTACAGGTTCAACAAATATTTCTACCTCGTTGCTTGATTCGCATAATACTTAATTATGGCATATGCGGCTAGGACATATGGGTGAGAAGCCAATGACAGTTCTAAGCAAGAGAAGACTATTGGGCAATCAAAATTTTGGGAAACTTGCATTTTGTGAACATTGTATCTTTGGGAAGAAGAAAAAGGTCAGTTTCTCTGCTGCTTCCCATAGTTCCAAGGGGTTGCTTGATTATATTCACTCATATTTATGAGAACCCTCTAAATTTCTTTCCATGGGAGGTCATAGATACATGATGACAATTATTGATGATTTCTCTAGTAAAGTTTGGGTTTATTTCTTACGGCACAAAAATGAAGCTTTCTCTGCATTTAAAAAGTGAAAAGTTCTGGTTGAAACTCAATCGGGAAGGCAAGTTAAGAAACTTAGAACTGACATTGGTTTGGACTTTTGTGAAACTAAGTTTAATGAATTTTGGTCCTCACATGGAATTGGAAGATACAAAACTCTAGTTAAAACACCTCAGCAAAATGGCATTGCCGAAAGACTTAACAGATCAATTATAGAAAGAAGTTGGTGTATGATGTCAAATGCATATTTATGGCATAGACGTGATTTATGGGCAGAAGCTGTATCCACAACTTGTTATATAATCAACCATTCTCCACATAAGTCGCTAGATTATAAAATTCCATAAGAAATTTTGATAGGTAAACCGGTTGATTATTCCAAATTGAGAATATTTGGTTGCCCATCATATTATCACATCAATGATGGAAAGCTCTCTCCAAGAGCTAAAAGGTGTTCATATCGGGGATATTCTATAAAGTCAAAAGTTCGTCCCTTGGGTGTTTGGGATCCAAAACCCCAACTCTCTCCCTTCAAACTCCACAACGGTCAAGTAGTTCCAGAGAGAACTCCATGGAGTCGCGGTCCCAAGTCGACGATGTAATCCCATGCTTTTACAAAAGAAACTCGAATATGATTTAAAAAAACTAGATGTGACTACACCACCACTAATATTCATTTTGGGAATAACAAGAAGCAGAGGGAAGCCACAAAACTAAGAAATCAAATCGGCATAGATAAAAACATAGGGAGCCCAAAATTTAATGAAAAGAAACTAGATTATGAAGGCAAAATTCACTTACATAGCCATAACTATCGACTTTGTGACAATAATAGCCAATTTACGAGAAATACACAAAATGTCTAGATTTTAGAAACATGGTTGACAAATTTAGCCTCTTTCGTTAAAAACTTCAACACCGTAAGAGATTACGTCAGTACATTAACAAGATGCTGACGAGGATGCCACATTGACACCACGTGGACGCCATATCATACTTTAATAGCATAATACACATGTATAGTCATAACTATCGACTTTGTGTCAATAAATAGCCAATTTCTCATTAATATACAAAATGTAAAATTCCGTCCAAAAATTTAACTATCATTTCATATGATGATTGGACTAAGTGATTCGAGTATATTTGTATACTTTTTTTATCCCTTTTATTCTTAGATGTTTGAGGTATTTTTACTCCATGAGGTTCGGTTTTACGCTCGGTTGTGGTTGTTTTTAGTATGTTTCATATCCTAGCATGTGAAATCAACCATGGAACGAAAGTTCGACGAAAAGGGGCGGAAACTGGTCAAAAGGGAGCAACATCAGCACATCACGGTGGAAGCCAAAGGTTCACGGTCATCCAGACTGTCAAAAGGAGGCATAGATCGTGAAGAGCGAGGGGTCTAGAAGGGTTTTGTCCATCTCGCGGGCATAAACCAGTTCACGGTCACTCGACCGTGAAGACCAGCTTCAGACCGTGAACCCTCTTAATGAAACGACTTGTTTTTGCTCGTCATCACGGTTCGAGCCAGATGTTCACGACCGTGAACAAGGAGTATGAAACGTCATCGATATGGGTATATAAAGGGATATGAGCTAGAAAAAAGGGAGGACCTAGTGAGAGAGACTTCTTTTTCGGATTTCTAAAGTGAGAAAGTGAAGAACAAGAGGAGAAGAGAAGTTACAACTGGCTTTACCACACATATGCATTCGATCCGGCAAATCATGATTGTTAGCTAGGGGGAGCAACACCTGGGTGAAGCCTTCTCAATTGGTGTTCAAACCTTTCACTTTTCCAATCGTTTTGGTTATAAATCGTAGTTTTAACCAAAAACCAATTGATATATAATGTTTCAAACAATCGAAGTAGAGGTATATGGACCGGTCCGGGTTTGACTTTGAAAACATACTTGCGCTATATTGCACCGGGTTAAGGTTTATATGTGGGTCTTAATTGGGGTTTTTATTGTGATATTCGGAACGAGTCAAGTTTTTGGCGCCGTTGCCACTTGTCGGGGACCTTTCAGTCCATTGTTTTGAAAAGATTGTTTGGTGTTAATATAGCGTTTACTTTTTGTATTGTGAGTGTGAATCTTGCTTGTATTAGACGAGTTGTGTTTCTTTGAAGTGTGTGTAGGAGGGTGTATGACCCGGAGTAATCTGACACCTTTGGCGACACTAGACGAGAACCTCAACCGCACTCTCCGACTTTTGGCTCGAGAGAGGGAGCTGGCAGAAGCAAGGAGAAGGATTGGAGAGAGGGGACAACCACAAGTTGGTCCCGAAGTTGAAGGAGTTGTAGTTGAGGAAGAGTTTGAATTAGAGGAAGAGGTGGGAAGTGAAGCCGAGATGGAGGCTAATCAAAATGCTCAAGAGGGAGCTAAGTAACCGAGGACCATGGGCTACTACATGGCTCCATGGGCGGCGGACACTCAACCGACTATTTTGCATCCACCTGTGGCCGCCAACAATTTCGAGATCAAGCCCGACCTTGTCACTATGATCCAAAACAATGTGAAATTCCATGGGCTTAGAGATGAGTCTCAGAGGGAGCATGTTTAGAGGTTTATCGAGATTGCGGGAAGTTTGAAGATCAATGGGGTGCCCGAAGACGCATTGAAGTTGAGGCTATTTCCCTACTCTCTAGCGGGGAATGCGCTCATGTGGCTCAACAATAGACCACCCCTCTTGATTACCTCATGCGACGACTTGCTCAACAAGTTCATGTCTTGATATTGTCTCCCTTCCAAGACGGCGGAGTGGCGCAAGAAGATCACCTATTTCGTCCAAGAGGAGGATGAGACATTGAGGGATGCATGGGAGAGGTATTCTGACTTTTTCCTCCAATGCCCACATAATGGATTTGAAGAACAGTTTCGGATGGAGATTTTCTACGCCGGTCTCCACGAAGAAGAGAAGATTCCCATTGACTCTCTCTGTCAAGGAAAATTGATTAACAAGTGACTCGCTATGACACAACACCTAACAATGGCCAAGCGTAACCAATGGAAGGGACTGCAGTATAGTGGCTCAAGTGATAAATATCGAATCCACGGGTCTCTAGAGTTACTATTACTCAGCTTCAGTTTATTATTTAGCAAACCAGATCAAGATGAAAGAACTAAAACTACTCTAGCAAACTACAGTTAAAGTTAATCTAATTACAGGTTGGGAACTCACTTAGGTATGATTCCCCCTAGCCACTAGCCAGACTAACGATTGATGATTTCTAACTTGTTTCACTTTCATTCACAATGCGGAGAATCCTTGACTAGACCTTGAGTCTCGACTAAAGGAACAAGGCCCTCTTGAGTCAATTGCCTAGAGGGACGTATCCTTCTCTAGAACAACTGATCAAGGCGTTCTGAACTAGACTCCCTCTATCGAAAGAGGTTCTCAATCGATACAAAGCAGTGAATCAACCCTCGACTAAAGCAATCGATCCACTACTATCAATCTATGGTGCTCTATTGACCTAATCAGGTATTCCCTCTCATAGGATCAAAGCAGAATCAATAATCTCGACTAAAGCAGAATTGAATCATGAAAACATGCATAGATTGAATATGAACTCAAGATAATCAAGTCAGAGTACTCATACAATCATCCAATCAAACAAACATAGCTAGGGTTCCTCAAAACCTAAGTGAAGGGAAGTTACTCCATAGAGAAGAGAGAGACTGCAGTAAGAATCTTCAGATGATCAGTCTTCAAGTCCGGGCTTCTTCCTCGAGCTTCCAAGGCAAAGAAATCCTCCAATTCCACTCCAAGAATGCCCTCAAATCGCCCTCTCTCTCTTTGGTTCGTCCCTTGGGTGTTTGGGATCCAAAACCCAGCTCTCCCCTTTCCTTTTGGCTGAAAATCTGCTTAAAAGGGCATCAGTGGCCAAAGCACGGTCGAGGGCACGGCCGTGTAATGCCTCAGCCCGCCCGTGCTTTGGCTAGGGTTAATTACACGGTCAGTGCATTGGGAGAAACACGGCCGTGCTTTGGAGAGAACACAGCCGTGCTTTGGGAGACCACGGTCGTGCTTTCAGCCCGTGTAATCAGCTCATGTTTGCCAAACTCGAATTAGCTCTCGGCAGTAAAAGCACGGCCACAGAACACGGCCGCGTTTTGGAGAGAACACGGCTGTGCTTTGGGAGAACACGGCCGTGTAATGAATTAGGTGTGCCCGTGTTTTGGCTCCAGCTCGACGAAATGACTTCCAAATGCCCCGAAACTTGTGCTTAGCCTTTCCTTTGACGCCTGGGACCTGAAATATGACAAAATAGCACAACCCGGCGTAAAATAGGCCAAAAGTACACGACTATGCCCCTCAAACGGATAAGAACTAGGGGCGCAAATATGTGCAATTACATCGTTATCAAACTCCCCCACACTTAACCATTTGCTTGTCCCCAAGCAAACCTAACTCAAACCAATGCAACTCTCCAGACCTCTATAGCAACAAACAACCCAGATCGTAGGTAGAGGACTTCCTAGATCATTTAGCAGCTTACGAGGTCAACCGACGCACAAGTCATCTCATAGCTCCTTCGGCGAGAGCACTAGTATCGATTCAGCATCATGGCAAATAGTGAACAGAGGACAAATGAATTGTGGATGAAGAGATTCTCAAAAACAAAAGATCATGGACTCACATTTTTCAAGGTGCTCTATATTCTTTGAAGATGGTTGGAACCCCTTTTCTTTCTGTTTTGCTTGTTTTCTGTGTTTTTTTTTTTCAAGGGTCCCAACCGGCTCTTACCGGCCATGCCAGGAGCGGATGTCTCGAGCCTCGTGCGGGGGAAAGACATGTAAGGGGACTGGAGGTAGTAGGTGGAAATTGGGAACGGATTCCCGTCTCCCCTTACACACTTTCGCCCTATTCGCACGGGAGACGTTATTTTGAAGCACATTTTCGAGCACCTGTTATTTTCAAAGCATGATACAAGAGTCCATGACAGGCAGAGAATCCACAACACCACACAATTCAAGGGTCCTAAGATCACTAATTCACTCAATCAACCAACACAATATGAAGAAGAAATGAGACTTCTTAAATGCATCAACATCCTCCATAGTGCTACACTACCTCCCTAGGTTGCATATTACTAAAAGGACTGTCAATTCAAAGCATACTGAGCAGGCAATTGCAAGGAACACGTACTTGGAGCCCTCAAATTTAAAAATTTGGACAGTGGACTTGGCTCCAAGCACACAAACCGCCAAACATTCACCCGCATAAATAATCGAACATCCCCCCACACTTAAGCACGACATTGTCCTCAATGGAGGAAAGATAAGGAGGGTAGAAGGAAGTTACCAGATCAAGGGTGAATGATGATGAACGGGTCAGGCGGTGCATTCCAGAAAGAGAGAGTAATCAGAACACAAACACCACACAAAATCTCACAAAGGTTGAGTTATTGACTCTAAAATCAAATAACAAAACTGACTCAACCGAGGAGAAATAGAGAAAGAAATGCAAACCGACTGTTGGGTTGCCTCCCAACAAGCGCTTCTTTCACGTCGTGAGCCAGACGATGGCTTCTAAGTTTTGGTCCATGCTAGAACCTCCTTGAAGTTGAGGTTCTCGTCGATGAGGAGGAGTCTCAAGTCACGAGCATGTGGTGTGGCAGGTGATGAAGGCTCATGTACTTGATGCAGATGAAGTCTCCACCCTCGAGACCTCTTCTTCTCTTCTCTCGTCTCATTGCCCCAAACCAGATATGACAGCATCGATTGGCCACCATCGCGTCCACCAAGAGGGACCGATTTCGATGTGGCTTTGGTCCGGCAAAGAAACACTGCAAATGGGTCCTTGCTAAGCAGTTCCTCAAAGTTTGGTGGGGATATCACTTGCAACTCATGGCCGGTGCAAGCCTCTTCCACCTCAACTTCGTCCTCAGCCTGGACGCCAATTGCTTCTTCAACCTCCCTTCCTTCTTCATGTGGTATCACCCCTGGGAAATGATCAAGAACTCCTCCAGCTTCACTTTCGTCATCCTCCACAACTTCTTTCTGCACCCTTTCTTGCTCTTCTTCTTCTTCTAGCACGGATTGGAGAGCAAGTTGCCAAGCAATTTCTTTCATGAGATCTTCTTGCATCTCCTCACTCATGCCCGCCTCTTCAAAGCTCAGTTTGGGGTGTGGGAAGGTGCGGTCGGCTACGACATGACACTCCTGATCATGATCATCACGGGAGCTCTCCGTGACAACTTCAGTGTGCTCCTCTTCTCGTATGGTAGCAGAAGGGTGATCTGGAGCAGGTTGCGCCCAAGATCGCTCAAGATCATCGACGCTCTTCTTAAGGCTCAGGAGGATCTCCTCTGTTTCACGATAGGCCTGGACACAATGATCCATCCTGGAGCATGATCTCTCCATGAGAAGCCTCAATTCATAGTGTGGATCTGGCTGTGGAGTGTAGCATGGCTCTGCAGAATGGCCCGTGAAGGCCTCCATGGGTAACTCCAGCTCCAATGGCCCTTCTGGTTGTGGGAGAAATTCTTCTTGGTAATGAGGTTGTTCTTGATATGCCCAGTGGTCCGGTTGTTCTCCGTAGTAAGGGGGTTGGTACTGGAACCCGAATCCATAGTCTTCTCCTACTTGATTGCGCCAGGGGGTATCGGTTAATACCACCCGGATGGTGGTGGATACCCCCAATGATTGGAGAAGCCATTAGGATCCATGATTCAGATCTGCACCAACAAAAACAAAAACACCCAAGTGAAAAGCAAGGGTGGAAAAGAAAAGAAAAGAAAAACGCTAAAGTAACAAACTTCTGCCTTTCCTAATACTCTAGAAAGTCCCCGGCAACGGCGCCAAAAACTTGACTCGCTGTGACACAACACCTAACAATGGCCAAGCGTAACCAATGGAAGGGACTGCAGTATAGTGGCTCAAGTGATAAATATCGAATCCACGGGTCTCTAGAGTTACTATTACTCAGCTTCAGTTTATTATTTAGCAAACCAGATCAAGATGAAAGAACTAAAACTACTCTAGCAAACTACAGTTAAAGTTAATCTAATTACAGGTTGGGAACTCACTTAGGTATGATTCCCCCTAGCCACTAGCCAGACTAACGATTGATGATTTCTAACTTGTTTCACTTTCATTCACAATGCGGAGAATCCTTGACTAGACCTTGAGTCTCGACTAAAGGAACAAGGCCCTCTTGAGTCAATTGCCTAGAGGGACGTATCCTTCTCTAGAACAACTGATCAAGGCGTTCTGAACTAGACTCCCTCTATCGAAAGAGGTTCTCAATCGATACAAAGCAGTGAATCAACCCTCGACTAAAGCAATCGATCCACTACTATCAATCTATGGTGCTCTATTGACCTAATCAGGTATTCCCTCTCATAGGATCAAAGCAGAATCAATAATCTCGACTAAAGCAGAATTGAATCATGAAAACATGCATAGATTGAATATGAACTCAAGATAATCAAGTCAGAGTACTCATACAATCATCCAATCAAACAAACATAGCTAGGGTTCCTCAAAACCTAAGTGAAGGGAAGTTACTCCATAGAGAAGAGAGAGACTGCAGTAAGAATCTTCAGATGATCAGTCTTCAAGTCCGGGCTTCTTCCTCGAGCTTCCAAGGCAAAGAAATCCTCCAATTCCACTCCAAGAATGCCCTCAAATCGCCCTCTCTCTCTTTGGTTCGTCCCTTGGGTGTTTGGGATCCAAAACCCAGCTCTCCCCTTTCCTTTTGGCTGAAAATCTGCTTAAAAGGGCATCAGTGGCCAAAGCACGGTCGAGGGCACGGCCGTGTAATGCATCAGCCCGCCCGTGCTTTGGCTAGGGTTAATTACACGGCCAGTGCATTGGGAGAAACACGGCCGTGCTTTGGAGAGAACACGGCCGTGCTTTGGGAGACCACGGCCGTGCTTTCAGCCCGTGTAATCAGCTCATGTTTGCCAAACTCGAATTAGCTCTCGGCAGTAAAAGCACGGCCACAGAACACGGCCGTGTTTTGGAGAGAACACGGCCGTGCTTTGGGAGAACACGGCCGTGTAATGAATTAGGTGTGCCCGTGTTTTGGCTCCAGCTCGACGAAATGACTTCCGAATGCCCCGAAACTCGTGCTTAGCCTTTCCTTTGACGCCTGGGACCTGAAATATGACAAAATAGCACAACCCGGCGTAAAATAGGCCAAAAGTACACGACTATGCCCCTCAAACGGATAAGAACTAGGGGCGCAAATATGTGCAATTACATCGTTATCAACAAGACTCCACCCAAACTAACCCAATTGCTAGAAGATATGGCGAGATGATTGGGGTTTGATGAGAAGTGATGTAAGGGATGCCAAGAGAGGAGTACACTCCATAGAAGTGAGTCCTCCACTTGTCGCCAAGATTAACTAGTTGATTGATGCTCTTCATGAAGACAAGAAGCAAGGGAAAAAGTTGTTGATGGCCTGTGATTGGTGTTTAAGTACCAACCATGAGATTTCAGAGTGCCAATCAATGAAGGAAGGAAGCACACCGGAGGAGCAAGTGAGCTTCATCGCTTATGCTTGGGGGAACAACAACTTTTATAGCAACACTTACAACCTGGGGTGGCGAAACCATCCGAACTTCTCTTGGTCTTCCCCAAACAATCCAAGACCCCCCGTTTTCCAAGGACCAATGGGAAATTATCAACCAAGGCCTCATTTCATTCAACAAAGGCTACAATTTCAAGGCTCGAACTTCCAACAACCATTCCAAGTGCAAGGTGGTCAAGGGTACCAACAACAACAACCCGACAAGTTTGCAAAACTTGAAGACCTAGTTACCACCTTTGTGAGTACAACTTCTCAGAAGTTTGAGAAGATTAAGCAATTCATGGATATACCAACAACCAAGTTTTCTTCGGTTGAGGCGGGTCTAAGAAGTCATCAAGCGATTCTTCAAAACTTGGAGACTCAAATTGGCAATCTCGCTAGGATCCTCACCAAAGGACCGAGGGGAGCTCTATTTGTACACTTTTTACCCCTTTATCCTTAGATGTTTGAAGTACTTTACTCCGTGAGGTTCGTTTTTATGCTAGGTTGTGGTTGTTTATAGTATGTTTCAAATCCTAGCAGGTGAAATCAACCCATGGAACGAAAGTTGGATGAAAAAGGGCGGAAATCAGTCAAAAAGGAGCAGTAGCAGCAGCTGATCACGATGGAAGGCAGAGGTTCTCGGTCATCCAGAACGTGAGAGGAGGCATACACCATAAAGAGTGAGGAGTCTAGAAGGTTTTGTCCATCTCGCGGGCATAAACTAGTTCACGGTCGCTCGATGGTGAAGGCCAGCTGCAGACCGTGAACCCCCTTAATGAAACGACGCATTTTTATTGACATCACGGTTCAGGCCAGATGTTTACGGCCGTGAACTGGGACCGTGAAACGCCGTCGATTTGGGTTTATAAAGGGAGATGAGCTGAAAGAGAAAAAGGGAGGAATTTAGGGTTTCATCCAAGAGCTAGGTTTTGGGAAGTTCTTCCTCCAAGGTTGATCTCCACACCACTAGGAAGAAGGCAAACATCTCCAAGATGGTTTTCTCTCTTCTCCCTTATGTATTCCCTCTACTTAGCATGGATTAGACTTTTCTTTCACTTGGGTGTTTGTAAATTCTAGCTACAATTATGTGAATGTTTGTATGGATTGAATGATTTGTGTGTGGCTGTGTTTTAATACAAGTTATGAGGTAGTTTCATGAAGATTGTGTGTGTTCTTGCATTTCCAATTCTTATGCAATTTTGACATAGGTAAAGGGAAATCCCCTTCTTGTTAAGAGGCTTGTAAAAGCTGGAGTTCTTTGGCTAATTGTGTCACATACCTAGGTTGAATTAGGGCAAACCTTTTAATACGTATTGTAATTTGGTCGTCCAAAATATAGTTCGAGGGTGAAGTAAGAAACCCTTGGTCGATTGAGCCAAGAGAGCTACCTTAGTAGCTTGATTTGATATCCCTTGGCCTAGAGACCGAGAGAGTGATGATTGTTCACTTGTTGCATTTCCCTATGATTTACAACCTGCTTTACCACACATTCGCATTCGATCCGACAAATCATGATTGTTAGCTAGGGGAGCAACACCAGGGTGAAGCCTTCTCAATTAGTGTTCAAACATTTACTTTTCCCATAATTTTAGTTATAAATCATAGTTTTAACCAAACACCAATTGCTAGATAATGTTTCAAACAATCAAAGTAGGGGTACATGGACCGAGCCGGCTTTGACTTTTAGAACATACTCGCCCTATATTGCACCCGATTAAGTGGTTAGTATGGTCTCCACCAGACAGACGTAACGCTTTAGGGATTTTTATTGTGATATTCGGGATGAGTCACTAATGTTTTTGCTAAATTGGCGACATTTATTAAAAAATATTAACATGCGGAATTAACTAAATTCACTCGCATAGCAATAACTATAAAGAATAATAGATAAATAAAATCACAAAATCCACCTCTAATTCTCCTCAACATGGCAGGACCTGTCAAGTTGTCTCTATAGTGTGCGTTAATGTGACATCATCGTCAACGTCTTGTTAATTTAACCTGGCAAAATCTCTAATAGACCTGTCGCAACAACGACCTCAAGCTTCTAATTGCACATGTGCTCCCCAAACCATGACAGTTGTAACAAAGGATTCTCATTTATTCCCAGGAGGGGATCGGTTCCTCGCACCTTTCAGCTTTGATTCATCTTTCTTTTTATTTCCTTGATTCGCTTGTTGTTGTTTCCTGATCTGCCTTCTTCCCGTTATTTCCTTGTATTCCCTTTTGTTCCTTCCTTGTACCTCTCAGAGGGGTGCTTCCCTCGACCTCCTTTGCTTCACCTTGCCCCTCCAAAAAAGGATCGAATATGCATCACTAATGTTTATATCGATCACCACAGACTCTGTAAAGAATATGAATGGTCTACCTTGGGTACTTAGACTTCTAACAACTCCAAGTGCTTTGCAAGGGGTGTTGTTGGAAAGTATGATTTCGATGTTGACATCCTCCATGTGGTCAGTCTAATGCTTTCTTAGACCTGCAAAGGTGTGATGTTGATACTTGCACCTAGATCAACTAGTTCTTTTTTCATACGATGGTCATACAAAAGAAAATTAATGATGCAATTCCCTGGATCTTTCTTCATTTTCTGCACTAGGTGAAATTTTCATAACCCCATGGATTTTTCTGGATAGTAGGCTTCTTTTCTTCAATTTTATCATTCTCTTCAAAGAGAATTTCGAGCTTCTCCATTGGAACTACTTTTTTCAATAGTGGTACTGCCACTTCTGCTTATGCAAGAGTTTTTATTAAATTCTTAAAGAGGTTTGGGTAGTGAGCTTCACTTTTTAGGATCTTCTCCTTATCCGCATCTTCCTTGTATGAGTTTGGATAACTCTTGGATACCCTAGTAGGTATTACTTTGACTTCTTCCTTCTTTGGATCATTCTCTGAATTACTAGAAGGATGTTCTTGAGGCTTTTGAGGTTTAACATCGATCATAAGCATTGTTATCAAAACCAGGTCGGAATGGACGGCCCGACCGTGGAAAATCAGACCCATCCAACCTTTCGATTTCGATTGCTTAAAATCGTGAAGAAAACTGTCTGCCAGGTATTGACCGGTTCAACCGATTAATCGACAAATCCGGATGACCCGAACCGGCGGTTATAACCACGGTTTACTTTCCATTTCTTACTTTTAATTATGGAAATTTATCTCTCTTCCTTAAAACCGAGACATTAAATGAAAAGTGAGGGAGAATATTTATTCTCCTATTTTTTTACCACTTACCACTTTTATCCTTTCTCCTAACACTCATCCACCCACGGAAAAAATCCCAATATACACCAGTAATTAAAAAAAATTTCCAAAATACATAAGTTATAAAAAAATTTCCCAATCTACACATGTTTCACCTTCACCGCCTTTGTCTAAGGTCGTGAATGAAATCACCGTGTTAGACAAACACGGTGAATAAGTCACCGCATTTAATGATAACGATGAAGAAATCACCATGTTTATTTAAAGCGGTGAAAGGTTCACCGCGTTTTACTTAAACGGTGAAGCAATCACCGTGTTTGTGAACAACGGTCAACTGATAGTCATTTTTGTGCAAAGCGGGGAACACCTTCATCGCTCTAGGTTACGGCGGTGATAGTTTCCCACGTTTCCCACCCCTGGTAGGTGAGAGTTAGGTCACAACGACCTAACGTTCACCGCCTTAGGGCAACGCGGTGACTACCTTCACCGCTTTTGACAAACACGGTGAATGCTGACTGATTTCATGTAAATACCCCTCCACGAGCACTTAGAAAAACGTAAACCCCCTCCCTCTTCAAATTTCAGCAAAAAAACCGAGCAACATACACAGAATTCTTCTTCTGGCGGGTGGTTAGGGGGTTCCTCCCCATCCAAACAATTCTTCTGGAAAAGACACTTGTGGAATCCCCATCCTGTCTGGTATGCTCGGAAGCATCAGAGACATTTGCCCATTGCTTTTTTCATTGCAGGGCGACACAACCCCTTTGGTCCTTGGCTGGCCTAGTGGATGTTCATTCTAAGTTGGCGGGGCTGCCTATGGAGGAAGCTTGGATTAACCTTTTTTTTCTCTTTGAGATTATCTAAATTACAAGTGGCAGAAGTTGTGTTCTTGTGTTGGCGAATCTGGAAAGGGCGTTGCTGGGCGGTACACGGTGGCATCCAGTACCTTCCCCACGCCCTGCTCAGACAATTCCGAATGCAGGTTGATGAATGGCGCGCAGCTCACTCGGGCACAGAGACGCAGCCTGAAGCAAGCAACCAGCAGTTCCCAGGAAGTGTGCGTCAGGTGAGGCCTTCCCCATCAGGGATCGTCGGAGCTCGGGTCCTGGACTTGCGAGCGGCTGAAGCTCAAGCGTGGCTGGTACGCTTTGATGGAGCAACTAAGCGCAACAGTGGCTGTAGTATTGGATTTGTTGGGTTTGATCCCCTTGGTGGCCTCACTTTTGCGTATGGTAAGTTCTATTCTGGTATTCAGGATCCTTTTTTAGCTGAGCTACTAGCCCTCAGGGACGCTATGGATTGGTGTCTAACACATGGTTTTCTCTATGTCAAATTCTATGGGGACTCACAATTGGTGGTTCAACGAGTGCTAACTGGGGATCGTCATCATGTGACGGGAGGCGCTCTTCTGGACGATGTGTGCAGGATGGCGCAGGGTTTCGAGTTCTGCTCTTGTTCTTATGCCACGCGCATTCTTAACAGGGCTGCCCATTTTGTGGCAAAACAAGCCCTTTCATCGGAAGTTCGACGACTGGTCGACTTTCGCACGGCGTTGAATTCTGTACTTTGATTTTGTGACTATTTTTACCTCTTCTTGACTAGGGGGAAAAAAAAAACATACACAGAATCTATTTTCGGTATGATTTAATTTTGTGTTGTTATATAATGATGTTTTTAGTAGTTATATGTATGTAATGAATTACTTATCATAGCAAATATGTTATGTTAGTTGGGAATTTATGTTGTTGTTAGTTATGAGATGGAGTAATATTAGTCGTACAATATGGTTTTGGTTAATTTTATTGGAATTAAGCTAATAGTTACTTATTGTAAATTTTAGATATGGGTATTCAAGAAGTTTCAGCTTATTATTCGGTGGAATGGAAGGGTGACAAACTCTGACATTGGGATTGATTATGAGGACGATGAATCCACTATGTTTGAAAATTGAATCACGATTCACGTGGCAAGAACTCTGTGACATTTGTGCATACATGGTTTGTACGAGCGGACATATGAGAGTTGGTAAACTTACTTACCGGTATCCAGACATGAGTCCTGGCGGGGTTGTGCACCAAGAAGTTGTCATAAACGATGATGACGTGGTTACAATGATGTTACAATTCCTAGGCAATAACGGGATGCAGCTTGTAGAGATCTATGTTGAGACTGAGGCGGTCGGTGAAACTCATTCTCACCAGTATTCTTATGATGATGGTTTTGCAGGAGGGTACGGATGGGGTGGTAGTTCAAGCAACTACCAATGAGGTGGTTATACAGGAGGTTACAGATTGAGTGGTAGTTCAAGCAACTACGGAGGAGGTAGTGCTACAGGATGGGTGCCATCGGAAGAATACCCGCAACGGGATGAACCTGCCCCATTTGTTGTGGCCGGTGAGGTTCAATGGCCTGCTTGGGGGCCACAGTGGGCTGAAATCGAGAATACCATTCGATCTGGGCGTACTTCACATGAGCAAGAAGACGATGTTGGTGATGGTGGTCATGTTGATCCTTCTTGCCCGAGCTATCCATTCGACTCGAACGACGATGATACTGAGGAAGATTTGAGATCAGTGAGCGAAGAGGAAGATACTGACGATACCGACGACGAGGTGGCATTTCGTGAGCCACCGACGCCATACTACACACAGGTTCCAACTCAATTTTTACATAGTTAGAATGATGCCATAGACATTGTCCCTATGTGAGTGTACAATCCGACGACCAATTTGGAGGTGGGTATGGCATTCACATCGAAGGACGCTGTGCAGGATGCTTTTACCAAAGATGCCATGCGGCGCAATTTCGAGTGGAAGGTAAAATATTCTGACAATAAACAACTACATGTCATATGCAAAAATGTTGCAGAGGGTTGTATGTGGCAACTGCGGGCTGCAAATATGAAAAGAAAGGGTGTCTGGGTGATTCGAAAAGCTGAGAACAACCACAACTAGGATAACTACGGAATAAATTTGCAATTAGGATAAGTACGGAATAAATTTAATTTAAATCTAGCTAAGCATGGAATGAATTTACAAATAGACTAAGTACGGAATAAATGTAATTTAAATCTAGCTAAGCATGGAATAAATTTAAATCTAGCTAAGTATGGAATAAACTTACTTGACACCATAGGGGGGATTTTGCACATTTCGTTGCTCATCATCTGCTCTCCAGTATGGACGTGGGTCTTGAGGTGCAAACATTGGAAGATGCTCCTACACCAAGAGTTGGAGGATGAACATCGCACCACCAGCTTGTTTCGCTCCTACCTTCGAGCAAGTACACAACTCCCTATATATGCCAGCTAACACGGCCGATCCCCAACTCTTTTCCCCGTTCGCGTCCCAGTAACCAAGGAGCATTGGCAACCATATGCCTTGAATCCACCGGTTTGACTTGTCGGGGAACATAAATCCACCGACCAAACCAATGAGGTAGATGCGTGCATAGCGCTCCACTTGATCTTTCGAAGTATCTGGGCCGATTTCAACCTCATTTTGGATGTGAGTAACAAGCCACGGGATCGACACTTGTCCCGCATTCAATGGTGGATGCCCCCGTCCTTGAATTGGTCTGGTGGTCGGCATGTCAAAGCTCAAACGATCACGAATGAGCGGAACCTAACCTGCTTCGGGTTTGGTAGTGGTACCAATGATGGACTCTCCAGTTATCGACAGCCCGGTGAGGATTGCGACGTCTTTGAGGGTGATCGTCATTTCCCCCTCCGGAAGGTGGAACGTATGGGTTTCGGGGCGCCATCACACTGCCATTGCCGTAAGCAGATCATTGTCGATTTCAATCCGCATGAAATGCCTCAACATACCCAACCCAGTCCTCTCTATATATGACGACAGTCGATCATGCCAAGCGGGCAAGTTACTGGTCCCTTTATGAATGACAGGAATAAGTGATTCCTACAAAAAATAGAAAACATATCGATTTGTTAGTTAAAAGAAAGCAAAATAAAACCTTATAAAATAATGAAATAAAGTAAATTGTTGATAAGGTACATAGTGTTTACCGAATTGTTGTCCCAAATTGCATGGGAGCGATGTGCTTCTTGATCGGATAAATACTTCGTATCTCTTGGCCCATAATGGATATGCAATCGAGGATCGTATATCTCGACACCCATCTATAAATAAAAGTAATAAAATCAGATTGTTTTGATTAAAAAAATTACAAAATCAAATTGAAAAGATTAAAAAAAATCACAAAAGAAAAACCAAGAACCTACCCGAAGAGCCTCTTCGTCCATTTTTTGGTGAAAGTCGGACGACGGTTCGACGGGTTTTTAAGGGACAGGGGCTTTAGGGTATAACTCTAGTAATCCTTTCTAACGTGGAAGATCGGACTTAGCCGCAACCACAGAGCATACTTAGAACGAGACTAGAGTGGATATGAATGGAGGGAGAAGGGAGGGTAATGTGGTGGTGTGATTTGGAAGAGGGGGGAAGGGTTCGATTTATAAGGGGAGGGATCTGCCGAAAATGAATGCAGAGCCATCACCGCCTTCGACAAAGGCAGTGAATAAACCACCTTTCTCGAACAAGTTGAATGGCGATGATCGATGACGTGGGAGCCTATGAGGCATCAGATCTGGAAAGAAAACCAAAATCCGCACCTCACTGCATCCAACGGCAACGGTGAAACCCCCGCGCGATGTGGATCGCTGACGTGGATAGACGCGGGTTATTCACCGTTTTTGACTAACGCGGTGAATTCCCCGCGTTTGTCCGCGTCGGATTCACCGTGGCCGTCCGATGCGGGGAAATAATCACCGCTTTCTTTTAAAACGGTGAATGCTTCACTGTTTTGCTTAAAAGCGATGATTTGTTCCCTACACTTTCACCGTTTTACTCAGCCGCGGTGAAGCATTCATCGTTTTATCAAAACACGGTGATCTTATTCATTGCCTTAGACAAAAACGGTGATTGTGAAACATGTGTAGATTGTGAATTTTTTTTACAACTTATGTATTTTGAGATTTTTTTTAATTACTAATGTATTTTGGGATTTTTTCCTCCACTCACTCACTTTACACAATTACACTTCCTACCTTTATCTTTTTTATTCTCATTCTTCCTAAAATCACACTCTACGTTCACTCTCTTCTTCTCATTAATTTCCTTCCCTCTTTTCTCATTTTCAATTTTTCCATTCAATTTCTCCATTAACCATCATGTTCGGTCAAAACTAAAGAAGGTAAAAAAACTCATCCCCAATCAATTTTCAATATTAATATATTCTTATTTAATTTTTTTTTTATGGTTAATCAAAATTGTATTGAAGCCCGGGGAGGTGCAACTCGCAGCCTCCCTCTCAAAATATCAACGTTTTACACTCCGGTATACCTATACCAGTAACTAGTCAATAAAAACCAAAACAGAAACTATAAACCCAGAACATCTTTAGCTATCTTCTGCATTTCTACTGTACTGCCTAAATATATCTTGAACTCCTGTAAAATCGCGTTTGAAACTTGTGTAGGGTCTGAAACTCTTCTAGTGCCATAAACTCTAGCACATCCCTCTCTCCAAACATAAGCACAACACATCGTCCACAACAGCCTTCCTGCCTTAGTTGTCGAGCTTGTACCCGACCATCTCTGCGTCACCCAGGCCTATGAGAGCTCCAATCTGGGAAAGGAGACCACCTGCAGACTTTCTTTAACACTAACTGAAAGATCCCAGCACTGTAAGAACACACAGAGAAAAGATGATCTCTACTTTCCAGACCACCAGGACAAAGAACACAACAGTTTTCACCTGCCAATCCCTAGCTAACCAGCTTATCCTTCGTGGTAATGCGATCTAAAACAATCAACCAAACCAGTAAACTATGCTTTGGAATAAAAGGCTTACCCCACAGCACAGAATACCATTCAACAGGAGCAATTGGAACACGTATAGAAGCCCAAACTAGTTTAACAGAGTATTTCACCAATTTTTGTCCATCCCAAGCCAGATCATTACCTGTTCATGATATGTGAGTATTAGCCAATCCTCTGCATTTAAGAACTTTCTTCCACACCCATGAACTGACTGAGCTTGCAGGGATCTCCCATATGTCACGCCCTTTAATCCTATACTTCTGAATCCAGGCAACCCACAAAGACCCAGCCTCTGCCAGCAAGTTCCACAAGTGTCTTAATACACAAGCCCTGTTCCAAGTCTTGAAGTCCCTGATCCCTAACCCCCCTTCTGTTTTGAGCATGGCAACTTTAGACCAAGAGACAGGTGCTTTCTTTCTCCCATTCAATCCAAGCCCCCATAAGAACTTATTGCACACCTCTTCAATTGCCTTCAAAACTCTCATTGGCAATAGAAAAACAGTCATCCAATACTGAAATACACTAGTGATAACAGAAGAAATCAATTGAATTCTCCCAGCGTAGCTAAGGGTTTTTGCTTGCCAAGTTGTAATTCTCTTATTAATTCTACTGACCAGAATACTACAATCTTGAGCTGACAGTCTACCAGATAGAAGAGGGACTCCCAGGTATTTCACTGACAGCTCCCCCAAAGGAAACCCTGTAAGGTCTGATATCCATTTATGTTCCTCCTTTGAGATTCCTGCACAGAACAACTGGCACTTGGCCAAGTTGCATCTCAATCCAGACACCTGATAGAACTTGTCCAATAACCTCTTGACCCCAGCAACTGCCCTAACTGATCCATTTGAGAGAACCAGTAGGTCATCCGCGAAACAGAGGTGAGTGATCTCCAGATTTTTACACCTTGGGTGATATGGAATAAGGTTTTGAGATACATCCCTAGCTAACATGCATGAGAAGACTTCCATGGCAATGGTAAATAGGTAGGGAGAAAAAGGGTCCCCTTGTCTTAACCCTTTGCCAGCTGGAAAATAACCACAAAGCCCCCCATTGAATGCCACACTTAGCATAGGGGTTGTGACACAAGCTTCAATCAACTTAATAAAACTCACTGGAATATTCATAGCCCCCATTACTTTTAACAAAAATTTACAATCCACAGAGTCAAATGCCTTCATCAAGTCAATCTTCAAAATACATCTAGATGAAATGGAGGTCCTATGATAATCTTTAACCAGTTCTGTTGCCATAAGTATATTGTCACTAATGAGCCTACCTCTAACAAAAGCAGACTGGCTTATCCCAATGAGTTTAGGCAACACTGAGGAGAGCCTATTTGCTAACAGTTTCGAGATACCCTTATAGATAACATTACAACATGATATTGGCCTAAAGTTCTGCATTTTATCCACCACTTCAAGTTTAGGAATCAGTGCTAAGATTGTAGAGTTTACCTGTCTAGGCATGATTCCAGTTTGAAAAAAAATCCAAGACAGTGTCCTCAACTGCTTTACCAACTACATCCCAGTCCATTTTGAAAAACTCAGCTGTGTAACCATCTGGCCCTGGAGCCTTGTCATTCCCCACAGTCTTGAAAACTACTCTAATCTCCTCCCTTATGACAGGGGATGTTAATAAATGAGCATCATCCTCTCCAAGCTTGTGGCACAAGATATCTTCAAAATAGGACATTGGAGTGTCCTATACTAGAGGGTCAGCTTCTCCTAACAATCTTTTGTAAAAATCAACAGCTAGTTGCCCCATAGCCTTTACCTCAGTGAGTACAATCCCTTCCTCTGTAACCAACTTTTGTATAGTCTGCCTGTGATTTCTAACTTTAACCATACTATGAAAGTACTTGGTATTGGAATCTCCCTCTATAATTCTTCGAACTCTTGGTTTCTGCCTGTAGAATTGCTCTTCAGCTGTCTGCAATTCCCTACAAACCCCTTCCTGATCCAATACTGCATTAGAATGGGCAGTTGGATCATCAAGAATAGCCTGCTTCATAGCTTCAAGTTTAGCTTCAGCTTCCTTGACTCGTGCAGAAATCTCAGAGTACTGGGATCGATTTAAACCCTTGAGTTTAATCTTTAAAACCTTCAGCTTCTGATACAATTGAAAGTATGAGACTCCTCTAATTTCTATTTGCCACGCTTCCTCCAGCAATTTTTGATACTGAGGATGCTGTCTCCAGAATGTGAAAAACTTGAATGGTTCCGGTAAAGAGGAGATCAAAGGATCTGTGTGAACAAACAGACCACAATGATTTGAAACACCAGGTGCCAACAATTTAACTAGACTGTCTTTGAAAACCTCCAACCACTCTTCATTGGCCAAAGCTCGATCTATCCTTCTAGCAATAGGATTGATTGTTTGCTTGTTCCACCATGTGTACCAACTACCAATAGCTTTGTGATCAATTAACCTCATATCTGCAATCCAGTTCACAAAATCATCCATGCTTTGACTCTGGGAAGGATTATTTGAAGCTTCTAATGCCCCTGTGATTGCATTGAAGTCTCCAATAAAAATACCAGGCTCCTGTGTTACCATATATCTTCTCAATTCTTCATACAGCTCATCTCTCTCTGCTGTTTTGTTTGGACCATATACCACAGTAACCACACATGACTCTTTCCCAGACTGCACCCTCACTTGAATGAAATGCTGACCCATACCCAGCTCAACCACTGACAGAGCAGGTTTCCAAAAAAGCCAAACTCTTCCATTATATGAATACTTGTAATTATTAAGATGTCTCCAACCACTAAACTGTCTACTTACTATTTCATCTGCATTACCTTGCAAGACTCGAGACTCAAGTATAGCAAAGAATTCTACTCCTAACTGTGCAACTTTCTTATTCACATACCTATGCTTCTCAGAGGAATTGAATCCTCTAAGATTCCATACAAGCAGCTTCATGTCTTCTTCTTATTTAATTATAAGTCCTATGATTATTATGATTTAATTTTGAATTCTTCAAATGGATATGGTAATAAGATGTAGAAGTCTTAATTTAAACTCGTACTAATTTCATATGCATAATGAAGTCATTCTCATTTTATTTCAAAAAATTATATCCCACCTATTTTACGATCGGTTTTATACCGGTTATCCGATAAACCTTAAACCTCTTAATAATCCGGATCGTTACCCGGTCCGATTTTAACAACACTGATCAGAAGTGCAAACGATTAAATCAGGACTATTCTCTGTATTACTAGAAGGATGTCCAAACCAGAACTTTTTCAGGAATACCACCAAAAAAAAAAATTTAAAAAATACCAATAATTTTTGAACTAAAACGATTAAATCATTAATTCTCAACACACTTTCTCCTAGGAGTGTTCAAATGGTTACCATGGTTATAACCAAATCAAATAAGGCTAAATTCCACTAACCATGGAATACAATATCATAACCAAACCATCCAAACTAATACAACAACCAAATTAACCAATCTAAAGTTTAATCGGTTTGGTTAATTGGTTAACCAGATTAACCAATATAGAATCACATTATCATTGACGATGAAAATTTTCCGGTTAATGCAACAATTCGCAATTTATATAATGAATAAAACATAACAATCAACA